ATAATGGGGAAATCGCATAGTATGTCACGGAAATTGCAAGCTTATTTAATTAAGGCAAGATTGCTTAGAAATATATTCCAAATTAAATGATTCCTCATGTGTCTTCATAAGATCCATCCAGGTTAACACTAGAACTGTAGAACTGCGTCAATTCTCCTGAACTGTCAATTGGTAATCTGAAAATCTTTTTTGCGGTAATGGTTTGCATCCCTCAATAGCAACACCTCATGAAATCGGATCTTTTAAATAATCTTGCCTACTGCATCACCTACCAAACGACACAACACGAACACTGTAACAAATAACTGGCTTATTTTGAAATATCCTCTCTCGTTAATGACGTAAAATATTGGAATAGTTTTCTAATAGCGGTTGTTAGGTTCTTTTAAAAAGAAATGCTGCTTTAAGAGGTTGTATCGTGATACTGCTNTTTTATGTTATGGTCAAAAGCAAACTTGACTCGACTTCTTCTCTGGTAAATATCAGACTTTATGGCCATTTGATGAAAAGCAGCAACGTAAAATAGCATGGTTCTCTGAGATCATTGACAAATATCGTTATACGTCGTTCACAGTGCCTTTGGTCAATTTTATTAAAAACTGCCATTGGAACTTTGTCGAATGGTGAAGTTTAGCATACAGTTAATTGAAACTCCAGCTTAGTTATGCACGCGCTACTTTGACCATTTGAGTCAACTTTATGGTTCCTCTGGTATCCACATGATATGGTGTGGCATTTATCTTGATTTCCCGATACATCTAATCGTCCAATATTTTGACAACTCATGTTCAACGGGTGCAGATTTCCTGCTCACTCCTCATAAGACCTCAATAGGGAACCATTCATCAAGAAATCACTTGCTGCTCTGTAAATTCGACCACATTCAGTTCCTTGACAAATTTATGCTCTATCACCTGGCGTTGATATTAAGTAAAGCATCTAATGCAACCTTGAATAATCCCACATATTTGATGTAAACCCCCACATTTTGCTCAGATGAACCTCGATCGCAATGGGTTCGACGGTAGATGCAGCAATCTGCCGATTTCCCATTAGTTGGTTAAAACAAGTTAACAGTGTTTACAAATTTTAACGGTTGAGTGATGGATCAATTTCGCATAATGAATCTGTATAAATTTATTCATTTATCCGAAATGTCTCTCGTGCACGTTCAACTCGTTAGAATTGATGGCAAATCTTTTAGCTTCACTCTCTTCTCGTAACGTCCATAGGGTTGGGGTCCAGACAATCGATCCGTTTCCGGCCGTCGTACTCATCCGTTCTCCATGTCACCGGCCATTCATTCTGATCCAGAACCCAGTTTGGATTGGTGGCGAACAGTTCAGGAAGAAACTGAAGAGGCTGAAGGAAAGGAATGGAACACATGCCCCGAGGGTTATGACTATGCCGATGCCGAACGGGCACGAAACATGCTTCGGGGGGATGTTTGGCAACGCGATACGCGAACTGACCTCTTCGGGGACCCACGACAACGACAGACTCACGTCAGTTTGAGCCAATGCCTTTTTGGTTTGGATGATGAAGATGAAGATGATGACGCAGATGAGGTCAGTGATGATGATGATGACGATGATGATGATGTAGATGCGTTAGCCGAACAGCGTTCGTCCTCGGACCAATCCACGGATGACGAAGAGGACCCGACAGCGGACTCAGTTGATCTATCCGGGACGTGTTGGGATCCATTGCGTGAATTCATGTGATCAGATGGATTTGTTTACTTGTAGACCTGAACGAACATGTTGGTACAGAGGATGAACATTTGCCTACTGTAATTGACCCTTGTATATATTCTGTTTTCTCGGTTTCCTCGTCATTCACTGAAACCTTGAGGACTTTTCTCTCCATTTCCTTCTAAGTAAATTTTCCTCCCACATCGGCCCACGTTTGGTTTTCCTTGTGGCTATGTATCCAGGTAGTTTTTTCTCGAAATACACGTGAGCATATATATATATATATATATGTGGTTATGCATTTACACATCGAAAGTCAACTCCAGAGGTTATATATGTATATATCACCTAAGGATCCGGACGATGTACCAAACATATCACGGTGCATAATCTTGCGCGTGGGTGCGATACTGCTAGATTGCCCCCGCCAAAGCAAAGGAATTTTCTTAGGGAATTCATAACCGGAGCCTTAGACTAGCCCGCTGGGTGGTATGGTGTGTGGAAACTGCGATCCACTGCGAACTGGTGTTCAGTTCATCGGATCGGATCCATTAACTGGGGTCAAACGTTCGTGTCCAATACCCGTTCGATCCGGTGACCAAAACCAGGAATAAGTTTGTTGTTCGTACGTCTCTTGATGTTTGGTTTCAAATCAGGGTTTTTAGACAACTTCCCCAAGTGAACTACCAGTAATTTAACGACTCGGTTATAATCCTGGATGTTGGCTTCTCATCACCTATCTTTGTCAAGGAAACACTTGTTCCACGTGAAGGTCGTGAGAAGAGCTTCCTCAACAGGGGTTATTTGAGATCCTTGTTCGTATGGGAACATTTTGTGTGGCGGAAGGAAAGGGTATTAATTTGCAACCCAAGTCACCCGCTTCCGACCGAACTGAGGCTTTCGGAAGCCGGAATTCTTCGTACTGCTTCAGGTTTGACAGTAGGGATCGTTATGGTTTGGGTTGTTTGCCTAACCGGCACGATATATTAACTGATCTTCGAATCGGAAAAATATCCATGTCATATTGTTGTTTGGTGCTAACGACTAGAACCTGTGTTCACGAAGGTGTGAATAAGGCATTCTTGTTTGTCGCGATCAGTTAGCCTGCATGTAGGCTATCCGTAGTACGTTCTCTGCGGTTCAGTAGTTCCGACTATTAGCGGATGGCGACAGCGTAAGTGTCCGTCTTCGTGAACCCTACCACTAATCCAACAAGTATAANGACACATATCGCAACAATGTGAAATGAACACTGGATTTCTTAAACTTCTATGAAGTCTGTATCCTGCTTCAGAATTACTCGTTCAAAGATGGTCATTCCTTAGTAACCAAATAAACTAGCGAGGTGCAGTTAAATTCAGAACTTCTATATAAAATCTGCGTCGCCAGTAGAGAAACCTTTTCATTCTGTGGAGGATATTCTTCGTGTTATTCTCGTCTCGATAAATTCGGATGACCAGTGTTGTGGAAGAAGCCTAAATATATTACAAGTTATCACCGGTTTGCTGTTGCAATTTGATCAGTGTTGCATCTTCTAGTGATGTGATTTCAACTTGTTCCTTCGACCTGGTGTGAACAGCCACAGAGGCCGTAAAGTGCAAAACAGCTACGGTCGTTATNATATCTATGGGATTGCTCCAGGAGTATTTTGGTTAGCCTCGGTGTTGTTTTATGAAATTTCCACGTTCGAAATAAAAACAATTCTATTGAGACGAAAGACGCATTGATATATATATATATATATATATATATATATACACCGGTCACGAGATTGCAATCGATAACGCAAAGGTTGTGGCGCGAGCTAAGAAGAAGCGGGAACGATTAATCCTCGAAGCTCTGCACTCGGTCAATTTGTTCAACCGACACGTCGAGATAGACAAACATTACATCACACTCGCAAAACCCGTGATAATTAGTGGACTGATAGACGTACAAACAGCACACAGGTGCACGGAAAGACGGTAATCCCATTATTTCACTTATTTCATTTACGTTTGACAACGAGTCCTAGTTTGGATCGAAACGTTACAATAAACATTTTACAACTCAGTGTACGCCTCCATTCTCTCTTGAAATATATATATATATATGATGAACGGCAGACGGGGGATGCCCCAGTCACAGGGACCTGTTGTTCAGTAATGGAAACCGGCAACCTAAGCCCCGGGACTTGGGGTGGTGAACTCTATAAGGCCCCGCTATGTTAGGTGTTCTATTGAACCGGATGATAGCAAAGCTGCCTACCACCAAAGTTGGGTGGCGTTTGGAACCTCCGACCATTGGATGTAAAGCACGCCGATGAAAGCGACTAAACCACCACCACTCCTCGGGTGGTTTCAATGCGCAGTTACCTGAAACTCTAATATGTCTTGTTTGTCCGGTTAAACCAGTAAACGTCCATGTGATTTTCGAATCTCTCCAGGTGAGAGGTAGCTGGACCGACCAAGTCCGGTTACAGCACTTGGCACTCTGAATGTGCAAAACGCATACTCGACATAGTCGCACTGCTACTCAAACCATTGAGAAAAAGTGACAGTTTTTCTGGTTTTTTCATACAGTTAATAGTGCAGTTTCATCGGTGTACTGTAAATCAGGCAGCCTTCCACGTGGGAGTATATCAATGCCGCTTTGTTTGCTCGAGGAGAAAGCTGTTTCCGAAATCATATGTATTACAAAGTTGATCAGGAACGGAGCGAGAGAGACAGAAAGTAACCCTAGCGAACACCGCTTTCAGTGGTGAACCCTAGTGAGAAAAAGTAGTAAGCTCGAACTCGTCTTCGGTTATATGTTTGCCTTCCGTGGAACTCATATCCACATTACTGAGTCACCAGGACACATCTAGCCTACTGATCATTCCATCTTTCGTTCCTCAATTAAATTACAGAGGAAAACGGCGGGCCGAAGTGTCAGGTAAGTTGATGAACACGGCAGGTTTTCCTTCGAACGTCTGCCGTACGANTCAGATGCATCAACCACTAAACAGTTACACAAAAGCCTCAGTATGGTCGGGAGCAGGTGTCTAGGGTTGCGGCTGGTCATCCTTCCCTTGCAGCACGCTCTCCTTTCTCAATCCTTCAGAAACCAATGGTTTCTTTTTTTGCTTGCCACAGAAGTGATGAAACACTGAGTTCGCATCGCTCCTTCATGTTAATGAGATTAAGCTGACGTATACTGGTATTCCAGAATAATGCGAGAAATTAAGCATTTGAAATTTTCACACTTCGTTGCTGAAGTTTTCAGAAGAGGTAATCTCTCTATGCAAAATTTATTGTACATCGTATGGCTGTTCAAAAGATGGCGATTATCTTCATGCCTTTCAAGGACAAGCGTTTTTCGATTCCTTTTATTTTCTAAGTAGTGTTGCCTGTAGAGAGCACGGTGTGAGAGGTAGAACGAATTTCAGATGATCATATTCAGCAAATTTTTAATGGTCGATTCAGAAGTCTCGCATTGTTACACATTAGTTTTAAAAAGGGACCTTGTTTCTCACTCATGGACTTATTTGTCATTTGGATCTGTCACATGGTTATTTGGATCCCTTCTCTGATTAATCGGTTGTGCTTCTCGACATCGGATGTGCAAATAGTTTTACAGCTTTTTCACTTAGATGGATAACTTAGGCCACACCATGCACGCCCTTCGATTGGCTGCGCTACACTCTAGTGCTTGTTCGTCACGTTGGAATTTACCGTTTACCTCGTCCATATATCGGTGCAAATCACGTCCAGGATCTATACATATCCTCGCCAGGACTAAAAACTGTGAATTCTGTGCTATCCGCTAATTTTTTGCTTGGTGAGAGCCATAAAAGTCTTTGGATCAAAAAATGCAGACGGGATGGCAGACTGCAATTACTTGCACCCCTCCTGCCAAGATTGGCAGATTGACCAAGATTGGTCAACACTAACGTTCGCGAAGATCTCGGATTTAACCTCCATTCTGAACACACGCATAAATTCCAACACGTGTTGCTTGTGTGCAATAAACCTGGTTGGATCAAAACATTGAGGACGTGCTCGTGCGAATAGAAGGGTTTGATTGCTACCGGCAGGATAGACAGCGAAGTAGTAAAAAACGGAGGCGGTGTGGCTACTTACATCAATGTTTCCTGGTGTGGCAAATCAAACTATTTTGATTAATACATTGACTGTTCGTTGTCACCATAAATTTTCCCGTCACAAAAGTTAAATCATCAATGTGTATATATCTCCCTCGTGTACTCAGACCGACATTTCTGCTTTCTGTGATTCGTATATTCTGTTTCTAGTTTCATTATTAGATTAAAATTTTCATTTACTTATGCTGGTGATTTCAATCATGCATGCATTTCTCCCCTGTTTCCGTTTGGTCTGTTTGACCTTTCTCATTCTCCTACCAGAGGTAGTTCCGTACTGGACAACGTGATCATAAAACATCCCAACTTATTCTCTCTCAAACTAATGGCCCCGGGTTCTACCAGTGACCATAGTATTCTTCTTGTTAGACCAAAGATATACTCTCGCTTTGTTTTTCGATCATTCATACGTTCCACTCAGATAAAATTTCATCTAAGAGACTTTTCACTCAACCGTATCCGTCTTCTCAACCGTTCTATTGTGATTGTTCAGTCTTGGTTTGGTTCTTGTCCTTCGCTTTTTAAATGTGTCGATCTGTTCACCAATACAATTAAATCGATTTTTAACTTGTGTTGTCCAATTAAAACCCTGTTCGTTTGTAACGGTAGAATTATCTCGCCCTTTTTGAACTCACTGAGAAGGTACAAAGAAATGGCCTACAAATCTCGACATGCATCAACTGTGAAGCACTATTCTGATTTAATCAGGTCCGAGATAACGTACCTAAACGCAATCTTTGCCGCCCAAACTCTGCGAACAAAGAACACCACGCTTTTATAGCAAGGTATTCACCTTCTCTGTGGGCAGAACTGAAAAAATTCCAATACCTCTGTGGATATCAACAGCCTTACCGCCGCTTTCATTCACCCGTCAAATGATAGTCAGATTCCCTCATTCCTATTCAATGGATCC